CTGACTAAAATAAATGTTTTCAGACAGGCAGTCTTTAAATATTTATTATTGTGTGTGTGTGTGTGTGTGTGTGTGTGTGTGTGTGTGTGTGTGTATGAAACGTTTTTTACATCAGAGTAGCAAATTTTGAGAGCCATTATATGATTTTTATATCTAATAGTGTAGAGTAATAGAAAAATTAAAAACTACAAATGAAGCATAAGTACATTTGGAATAATTCTGTGTGCTGAGAGATTTTTCTGTGTGTTGTTAGACAAAAAAAACTTAAATATAAACAAACTGCCCATAATTTTATCTCTCTGTTAATAAACACATGTTCTAAAATGTTCAGAAAAAAAGTTGATGTGATATTCAAAACATTTTAATGTAGCATGTATATCTGTATTTTTTAGAGAAAAGGTAATACAATTATAGCTTTTCTTTCTTTTTTTTTGTACCAGTACTCTACAACGTAGTAGCCCCAGTCCTCCTATAGCTATTTTGAAACTGGCTTTTGGGGCTGGAGAGATGGTGCAGTGGTTAAGAGCACCCACATGGAGGGATTCGATGCCCTCTTCTGATCTTCATAGGTGTTAAGGTCTAGATAGCCCTGCCCCCTCACCAACAGGATCCCAAGGACTTCTCATACTCCTGAGAAAAGGGAACCTAGCTGATAAGCACCTTAGACTTTGAAGTCAAGAGAAGCAGACTTTTCTCCACTGTTTGGCCAACACAGCAGGCTTCCCCTTTGATCTCTAAAGAGGACAGGTTTTAACAGTCCTGCTCTCCCACTCCGCCCCCCCCCCAACTTTAAAAAAAATACATCTTCCCGCCTTCTGCACGAAGCAGAAGCCTCCCTTTTAAAAAGACCCCAGCTCAAGACCCGGGCAGACATTTTCCCTGCCCAGAAGGGAATCTGTCCCATGTGTTCCTTTGCTAATAAACCCTATTTTGATGGAGTTTTAGCTGTGCCTCGGTACCTCATCATCCATTCGCTCATTCTCCACCAACTTTTTACCTATCAGATGGTGCCGACTTTTCACCTATCAATAGGCATTTCACAATAGGGGTGCACTTACATATAAGCAAGCAATAGACTCATGCATGCCCATTAAAAAAAAAAAAAAAAACAAAAAAAAAACACCAAACCAAACCCGGCAGACTTCTGTACCTAATTCTCTTCATGGCTGTCAAATTCCCAGCATGGAACAGTCCCCAATCTACTCATCTCCTTGTTTTGGACCTGCATGCTACTAAATTTTTGCTTTTTTGATCAGTGTTTGTATAGCCTCAACTTTTTCCTTCATTCTATAAAGAAAAGTTTCCATTAAAGACTTCACTTTAGAGAGAAGTTAATGAACCACCCAGAAAATATGTCCTTACCTCCCAAGGCTGCCTTCAAGTGTGTTTTCTACAACTTCAAATGGTATTTCCCAATAGACATACCCATCTTTTTCTATGGATTTTTCGCAGAATGACTTTGGGCTCTTTTCCTTTTTTGGAGACAGGGACTCATTATGTAGCCCCAGCTGGCCTAGTAGAACTTGCAGAGACTTGCCTGCCTCTGACTGGAGTTAAGGCCTGGGCCACCACCCCAGGCAACAGCTGTTTCTGGTAATTAAGGAGAGACTTGCTGGGTGTGGTGGTCCAGGTCTTTAATTCCAGTACAGGGGAGACAGAAGAAGGTTTAACTCTGTGAGTTCCAAGCCTCCAGTCTCAAAAAAATAAAAGTGTGGGGGTATGGGGGTGGGTTGGAGGGTGGCGGGCAGGATGGGGGCACAAAGCAGCTTCCAGCCAGTCTCTATTTCTTTTTCTGCCTCTCCCCTTATGAGCATGCTGCTCTGCTCTTGGAAACATGATAACGGTGGTTAGCAAAGACCTGGGTTTTGTTTGTTTTAAATCTGAACAGTCTGGTCTTTGTTCTGGCATTGTGGTCTTTGGTCTGGCATTGTTACACAAGACCATTTCCTTCTAAGCGCTTGTCCTCCTGCAGCCTCCATAGAAACTACTGGAGACCAGGCACATATGGAGAGCACTAATTGGACACAAGGGGTTAATTAATAACAACAAAAATTAGGACATGAAAATGGGAGGGAGAAAGGGTTACTAGGGGGGTTTGAAGGGAGTTAGTGGTAGATGGATATGATCAAAATACATCATATATGAAATTGTCAAAGAATAAATTTAAATTTTTAAAAAATATTGTTATTGTATGTGTATGAGTGTACTGCCTGCATGTGTGTAAGTGCACCTATGTCATACAATGCCACCACATGGGTGCTAAGACTCAAACCTCGGTCCTCTACAAGAGCAGCCAGTGCTCTAACCACTGAGCCATCTCGCTAGCCCGAAATTAATTTTTTAAAAAGGAGAAAAGAACTAATGGTGACAACCAATCAGACAAAGGAAACAGAAGCTAACACTTGCCCCACCCCTCACCCATGCTACCCAGGAAGCTGAGGGCTACCTAGGGTTTGGGGCTGAAAGCTCTTCTATTCATTCACTCCACAATGTTTACCTCTCTCACCTGATGCTAATGGTGGTTGCCCCCTTCTACCACCACATTCCTGCCCAGTTTCTTCCTGGGAACCCTGTGACTTCTCAGTCTCAGTGGCTGCTTTTTCTTCTTTTTTACTACCTTCTTTGGCTAGGCATTGTGGCTTGCAGTACGTAAAACAGATCCCACATTTTTAAAATAAAGGATGGAGGCCAGAGGTAACACACAGCAAGTATGCGGCCAGAGCAGAGTCAGAGCAATTGAGGCTTTGTTCAAAAGCCTCAGAAGTGGACTCAAGCTATTGCCAGGCCTTTGTTTTCATCCCTGTCATTTCCCTCCAGTGACTTCATCACCAACTTCATCACAGAGCAGTTCTGGATAAGAGATCCTGTGTTACCTTGGTGATATATGTGTCACAGATTGTTTAAGGGAAGTCTGCTGGTGTCAGAAGCTCCTGCAGACCTGATACCTTTCCACTGGTGATGCTTGACCCAGCAGGCCTTCTTCACTTTCAGGAAGTGTCTGAGAGCTAGGAGGCCTATTTGAGGTCTTCAGCTCAACACCCTGAGGACCCTTGCAATTCTTTTCTTTTCTTTCTTTTCTTTTTCTTTCTTTCTTTCTTTCTTTCTTTCTTTCTTTCTTTCTTTCTTTCTTTCTTTCTCTCTTTCTCTCTTTCTCTTTCTTTCTTCTTTTTTGGTCTTTTTTGAGACAGAGTCTCCCAGTAGCCCCAGCTGGCCTGGAACTCACTATGTAGACCAGGCTGGCCTTGAACTCACAGAGATCTGCCTGCCTCTGCCTCCTGAGTGCTGGGATTAAAGGCCTGCGCCTTTTCTTTTTTTATGGCACTACAATGGAAACAGAAGAGCACATCAGATGCAAAAAATTTTTGCAATGTGATGGTAATTAAGAATTTTGGAGTGGGAAAAGCCTGGAGATAGAAATGCGGACAGGAATCTTCCTCTTACTCAGGATAGAAGTCTTTGTTTTCCAAGGCTTTGGCATTCCTGTAGCCTTTATTACCTTACTTACTTATCATGTATATGCTAAGTACCTTTTGCTTGCATTCCTCACCTGAATATAAAAGCCCCCCCCCCAAAAAAAACTTGAACAATGGGTGGACTCTTTTTATGGAATGATCCATGGGTCAGTCCCACTAGTGTGAAATGAAACTCCCTCTCCTATCCTGACTTTGCCTGTTGGTCTCTGATTTTTCTGTAACAGTACCACCTCTGCCTAACCTGAGCCTGTGAATCATTCTTTCTATTCAGAATTTTCTAAGCATGAGTAACAAAGTAGAAACTGGTACTACACTGAAGGAAGTGGGTGGAACTCTGCTTGTAAGGCAGGGCCAGGCTCTGTTCTTAACACACACACCCCATGGTAGCTCAGCATGACTCAAGGGACAATGGTAGGCATTGCCTTTTTTGTTTTTACAACCTTCCCTTTGGTCAGCAGAGTAACCTTCAAAGACATGAGGATGATGACCTGACAGCCTCAGAGAACTCTGCATTCTTAACACTGAGGGCACTGGTGGCTCACCCTGCCTCAAGCACGCTCTTTCTGCCAGGCCAGAGCCCTGCGTGTGTAAAATCCTCCTGGCTTAAGTGACTTGTCACTGCCCTGTTTCAGGGTGGGTCCACAGGGGTACAGGAAGGTCGAGACACTTCTTAGATCTGCTTCCAAAGTTTTCCACTTAAGATGCTTCAAAACCTGCTCCTTGACTTCCTTGTTGGCTGAAAGGAGCGTTGTGGGCATTTCAGGCTTCTCGCCTCCGCTTGTTGCTAGCCACCTGGTCACTTTTGTGATGAGGACACTCACCAACATTATCCAGAAGCTCTTTCCTTCCCTAAAGTGAAGAGACAGGTTAGTGAGACACCAGAGCCTCCATGCATGCCAAGGCATGCCAAGCCTTTGCTGCCTGCCTTCTGGTATCTTCCAGAGGCTCTCTTTGGCTTTCTTTACTTAGTGGCCTGGCCTGGGGCAAGGGTGCTCCAGCCCAGTCACAGCTGCAACTGAAATTATCACTTAAATCAATTTTCTTCCATTTTCATGGGACTAAACAGCCCCTATGGGGAAGATAGTAATTTTTTCTCTTTCTTTTTGTGGTACTGGGTAGCAAACCCAGCTCTAGCCCAGGAGAGTTGTATTCCCACTATGTGGCAGTGAACACAGGCTTGTATGGGCGGAGTTTCCAAGAGTTACGGATTCCTGAGAGTTAGAGCTAGGGTGGAGTCCAGAGTTACTGATTGAGCTGGGTGAGCTTTGAGTCCTGAATAGCTGTTCCTCTCACCAAAGATGAGCATTTCTTAGTGGCTGAGGACTTGGGGCAAGAGGAGGGGACCAGTGCCACCCTTCTAAGAGCAGCCCTTAGTTTATGCAGCCTAGGCCTGGAAGTTTCCTGGCCTTGCCTGCTCAGTTAGCTCCTTCATGTGTTTCCTGAGGCCTCCTCAGCTCCTAGCTTTCAGTTTCTGAGATAATCAGAGGCCTTTTGTTGAGTGGTGACAACTCCTCTTGTCCTTTCCAGGTTCAGTGGACAGGCATAATGAGAAGTCAAAGAGAGCTCGTCCCGTTCCTGTTTATACTAGCTGTCTTCTGCTCCACAGGTGAGTGATCCAGACCATCTAGGCTGCCCTTGGCCATGAGGTACCTTTCTCTTGTGTCTCTGGGAGTCTGAGGTAATGCCACTGGCCGGTTTCCTTTCCTTCCAGTGTTTCAGATACTGCTTGTATGACGACTCTGATGTTAGGGCTTCCATCGGTGGGGCACCTTCTTGAGGTATAGCCCATCCCCATAAGAGGGCTGTTATCTGCAGGGGTAGAAAGCTGATGTTTGTTTCATGACCATCTACCACACTCTACTTAGGGACTCCAGCAGATGTCATCCTTAGAATGTTGCACAGGTCCTTTTTGAAAGATCTTAGAGTTCAAGGGAGACAGTGGGCAGTATTTATCTGTTTGGGTAAGAAGTGGGGGTTATCAAGTGGGTGGGTGGTGCATGCCTTTAATCCCAGCATTTGGGAGGCAGAGGCAGGCAGATCTCTGTGAGTTCGAGGGCAGCCTGGGCTACACAGAAAGTTCCAGGCCAGCTGGGGCTACTGGGAGACCCTGTCTCAAAAAGACCAAAAAGTAAAAAAATAAAAAGAAGTGTATTAGGGTTATCAAGACCGTAGATAGACAGACAGAAATTAGCAGGGGCTCTGATGAGACTTCAGGCCCATGAAGCAGAGTAGAAGTCTCTTCTTATAGGTTTCAGGGGGAAGGTTTCTCTGCATAAGCTGGCAGCCAGGCTGTCTCTGATGTAGAAGATATGGTTTTTCCCACCCCACCCCTGGCCGAGTCTGGGAACCTGAGATCTGTGAACTTTCAAGTGTTTTTTGCCCCCCACCCCCAAGTCTGAGAACCGGAGATGAGGCTGCCCTTCTCCTGGAATCCAGGCACAGGCACCTGGGGTTAGGGATTCTTAAAAGCTAACTAGAGGTAGTAGACTTATTTCTTTTACAGAAGAAAGAGACTGCTGCAGGTGACATGGCCCGAGCAGCACTCTGGTCTGAGTTCTAACATGTTTGGGTCCAGGATATCAAGAGCCTTTGAGCTCAGCCCTTCTACCCACCATTTTCCTAAGCTACAGGGATTCATGGTGTTGGCAACAAGACGTAAATAAACTAATGCTTAGAGCACTTAACCTGCTAATCACTAATCGCTAATCATTTAGCCCTTATGTCAACCTCATGGAATAAGTACTAATCTTATCTTCATTGTACAAATGAAAAGATTGAGTTCAAAAAGATTAAGAACTTATGAAATAATACCCAGAAGTAGTGTGTCAGAATGTGTAGTAGTGTGTCTGCCCCCAGATTCTTGCTTTTCATGCACCATAGGCCAAGGCCACTCCCAGGCTACCTACCCTTCCCTTGGCTACCCCTTGTGGGCCATCCATTGCTGGGCGCCCTTAACTTGGCTCTTGCAGGAAGTTATCCTGACTTTCCTGTAACAATGGGGACATCCAGGCTACTTTGCTTTATTCTAAAGAGCAAATGTTATTTTCTGCCTGTGTCATGTTGTTCTTACAATACCCAGTCATCACTGGCTTTTTTTTTTTTTTTTCCCTTTTGGAGTGGGATTAGGGGGAAAGCAACCCAGTGAGCAGTAGAAAACTGAAGGTCCCTGCAGTATTGCAGTGTTATTCATAGCGCCCATATTCTGCCTGCTACATTATCTCCTTTGTTCCTTCCACATCCTGTGAGAAGCTGGTGCTGTTGTGTGCATTGGACAGTAGAAGTGCTGAAGGGAGCACTTTCTATCCTCTCTCCCTATCTGAGAAAAAGAAAAATTATGGCTTCCCTCCTTGCCCACTTCCCTTCCTTGCCTTTGATGTTAGGGTAATGTGGTCCACCTCTGTCACAATTTCTTTCTCAATTCTTTGTTCACTGTATTTCCTGTCATTGTAATCACAATCCTGTTCATCACAATCATTTACATCTGTCTAGGGAGCAGTGTTGAGAGCAGGGGCCATTAGCTGCCCTGTGACACAGGTCTGGGATATACTTAGCCCCCTTTCTCAGAGAATTGGGGTGTGACGTTGAGAGAGAGAAAGAGAGACAGAGACAGAGAGATAGTGAGAGAGTCTGAAAGCCTGAAAGCCTTTCTTTGTTACTAAGACCCTAAGGAGCCTTCAAGAGAATTTTCCTGACACAGACCAGTGTGTCAAAGGCAATAACATCTCAGGCAGGAAAAGACATTTGATCCTTGTGATGAAGCAAATCAAGAAGTACAAGTTTCCCTATTGTTACAGTGGTTGAGACAGGCCAACTCCCTTCAGGGACTAGGGCAAGGATAGTTCAGAAACTGGTGGCCCAGGGGGTCAAGCCCTCCTTAGTCCTAGCTCAGCAGCAACCATCCATTGGCTTATGAGTGTATCCTCCTCCAAAATCTACTCTCTGTATTCTTCCCCACATTGGGCAGGTAGAAAATGTCTTGGTTAAACCAAGCTTGAGTTTTAAACTGGCAGTCTGACAGAGTCTCAGCTCTGTCACTGAGTAACTGTGTGACTTTGAACAAGTTTAGTTAACATCTTCGCTTTAGTTTTCTCATGTAAAATAGGGATGAAGCTACTTGAGCCTGCCACTCATGACGGTTCTAGAAAGGGCCTGGCATATAGGTGTACAGGCATTGAAGCACTGAATGAATGTTAGCTACTGATATTTCTGCCCTACAGAAGTCCAAACATTGGCATTGGCCTTGACCTTTCCATCTAAAGGTTTATCAATGAAACAAAGGAGCGCTGGCTCTAACCAGTAGATCAATTCACCCCATGAGTGAGCTTTTAAACTGGCCCTCAAACAGCCAGGCTGGCGTAACACTGTCCTCTCCCATTCTGTTTCTCATCTGTATGTATATACCTCTGGCACAGGTAAGGGACTGTAGATAAATGGCATCCTTAGGCCTTCTCACTGGGGCACCCCTGATATAACAAATGCTGACATTGGGAGGGAGCGAGCAGACCTGTCTGATGCCCTCAAGGGTGGGGGCTAGTTTTGACACTGTCACTTTATGGCTGGGTGTCCTTGGGTACTTCATTTTACCTCTCCACGTGCTGATCTTGTTACCTGTAGAGAGATAGAAAGCCCCTTTTTTTTTAAAATTGGTGTTTCAAGGGGTTAAACTGGGACCTTCCTGAATTAAAAGGTCCTGTGTGAGTGGGGTTTCATACCTGTAAATCAAGTGTTAGGCATTGAAATGATAAAGAGAGCTTGCTTCCTGACAGTGCTCAAAAGTGAAGATCTGAACTTCTGGAAAAATCTTCTTGTCCCCTGGTGATAAACTGACGCTTTGGCTTTAGGATTAGAAGTCAGCTGTTGAGTTCCCAAACCCACGCTTGGTTTAATTATGACATTCTTCTATGAGATTGTATTTCATCTTTGAAAATACCTTTTCACTGCCAAATATTGATGTCATGTTAGAAGCCAAGGGGCAGGAAGACCACTCAGTCTCTCTGGCACTGGGCATGGAAATCTCCACATGAATTGAGGTTTCCTTCCAACTCCTGCCTCAGCTTCTCACCACATATGTTGACTATAATTCATCTTTTCCTTGTCATTGTAAAAACAAAGAAGGGAAAAATGATTCAGCAAAACCTTGTTTACCTAGCAATAATAACTCATAGGAATTAAAATGACAGTTTTTCTGTTTTTGAATAGGAAACAGAGGTTTAATGTCTCTGCTCTGACTGAGTTACCTTCCCCACAAGAGTTTAGTGTATACCTATTGACTTGCCCTTGGCTGTATGTGCCTCTGACCCAGGGCCTGTTTTAGTAGGAAGCAGTTCAGAGATGGCACCCATCTGAGAGGTCTTAAGCTTTTTCTTTAAGGGGTCAGATGGTAAATATTTTAGGCTTTACAAGTCAAGAGGCAAAAATCAAGGAAAGCATTCATATAAATAACGAGAGAAAACACATTTCTATAAGATTTTGATTGACAAAATTTCCAGTGTAATAATTGTCAGTGTATAATGTCTATTATACACAGAATGGAATAGAATTTTGTAGGGGGATTAACATTTTGCATATGGATTCAAAAATTAGTGTTCTATCACCAAATTGGTTGCATTTTTTTAACTTTTGAAAATGTCTTTTTACACAAATAAGTATTGCCAAATTGATTATAATTTATTATAATTATATGGATTGATAATACTGATTATCAATCCATAAGGGTATGATTTAGTTGAGCATTTTCTTGCTTAGAAGACCCTTCTAGAATTTCAGTTAGCCTATTTTCTCTTGATAGTTTCCGTTTAATATGTCAATACATTACAGATGAGTCACTTTCCAGTTGAAGGTTAGGAGGAAGTATCTCTATTGAAGTTAGATGGATTGTTTGTTTGGTTGATTTTTGAGACAGAGTCACATGTAGCCCAGGCTGACCTTCAACTTGCTTTGTGGCAATACTAGGCTTAACCTCCTGATTCCCTGCCTCCCTCTCCCAAGTGCTATGATTATAGGCACATATTGCTCTGTTAGATGGATTTGGAAATGTGAGAATTTCTTCTGTACTTTTACCTGGGCCTGTTCCTAGTTTACTTTCTGTTGCTGTGATAAATACCATAAACACCATGACCAAAAGCAACTTGCGGGGGCCGTTTATTTGGCTTACACTTCCTCATCACAGTCCATTATTGAGAGAAAGAACACTGCTTACTGGCTTGTTCCCTGGCTCATGTTAAAGCTACCTTTTTTATACAACCCAGGCCCACCTGCCTAGGGATGGCACTACCCACAGTGGGCTAGGCCCTCCTGCTTCAATTAGCAATCAAGAAAATGCCCCACAGACATGCCCACAGGCCACTCTGATGGAGGAAATACCTCCACGAAGGTTCCCTTTTCCCAGGTGTATCAAGCTGACAACCAAGATTAGCCACCACAAGGTCCATCCTGTTTTTAAAAAGGTTTTACAGTTCATTAATTCTCTCATGAAAAATGCATATGCTCATACTGGTGAAATCACTGAAGAATCTTTACCTTTGCTTTTTGCCAGCACCAACACTGACCTTCTCAGTCCCCTGACTTTCCTCAATCTTTTCTATGTTCCTTTTGCCACAAAACATGTCTTTTAAGTCTGTGTTTGAGCTCATTTTTCTTTGGATAATTCAAGGACTTGCCAAAGTCAGTTGTCGTCCTGCCACCAAAATGGATTCTTAATTCAAATGCAAAGGTGATATCCCATTTTTGTGTTAACATTTAGGGTAGCTTTCCCCCTCTGTGGTAGGTACTGTCAATAAAAAATACAACTCTCACCTCAAAGGGGATAGGAGATAGTTTATTCTGGAGCCAAATATGAGTGCCTAGAGCCTAGGAACACAGATTTAGATTACCTCCAAATTCCATGTTTCAATGTGGGAGCAGTTACATGAGTTCTTATAGTAACAACAAAGAAAGACATAAATCAAGACACTTCTTAAATGCATTGGTGGAAACATTAAGTAGGCAGTTTAAAGCAAAATGGGGAAACTTCTATTATAGACCTCAGATGCTATCTGACAGTATTCTTAGCCTTTTGGTTAGAAAACTAGTGTTCTATTCGTACATTCCAAAGGAAGACTAGTGCCCCATTTGTACGTTTACCTCAATGGTCACGAAGATGTTAAGTACAGAGGAGGGCAATAAATGGCTATTAAGAGGGCCAAAAGATGGCCCAAAATAATTAGACTCTGGGCTTGCAACATTGCAAACTGTCCAGAATCATTGAATCATTAAATCAGTTAATCTGCCTTGCTGAAGGTTTACTTGAAGGTGCAGCTTCCTTCCAGGAACTTTGGTTTACATTACTGAAAGGTCTTGGATATGATAGAGGACACTTTGGTACAAATTGTTCCTTGAGGCCACAAGATGCATTTAACACCAGAGAGAGTGTGGTCTAAAGTGAGAGGGAGGATTTCAGACTGCCTGGAAAAGCAAGGAAGCCCAAGGGAAGGGGAGGAAGGGGGAGCATCTCACACTATGGGGAAGTGGGGAAGGGGGTAAGGAAGCAAGAGAATGTGGGGGAGCCATGGAGGAAAGGCACCTTAGGTGTATCTACTGGATAAAGGGAGCTGGGATGTGCCTTAGCTCTTTCATGACTGAGGTCTCTAAGTTCCTTGACACCTTTCACTCTCTTGGAATCCAGACACCCAGGGAGTTGGCTTTACAAACTCAGATGGGCTCTTTACCTTCTCTCTGTCAGCCAAGATCCCAGAATCAACTCTGAGGACCTAGCTACTGGAGACAGATATAGAGAGAGCTGCTGCTTCTCTGGGATTTAGCATTTCCTCCTTGAAGTCTGGGGTGGGGAGGTATCTGGAGAACCTGTTACAGACTCATAGACATATTCCTGGAGAGGTGCCTACTAGTATCTGTAAGACGGCATGGAAATGTCTGATTTCTCTGCCCATGCTCATGCAAGCAGCCCTGATTAAGCTCAGGGAGTCATACAAACACAAAAGACATGAAAATAAGGGGATTGTTTAGGGAGAAGGGTCAGCAGCAGTGGGAGGGAGGACAAGAGAGAGTGATTGGGGTATGAGTACATGTGCTTACAATAGATAGTGTATATGCATAAAAGAAAGAACTGACCACACCCCATGCTAATGGCAGTGGTGAGGTCTGTTCTTCTGCCCAGGGCTTAAGTTAAGTCCATACCGGTTTAACAGGTCCTGATAGGCTTTCTTTCTGATTCTAGGTTTTAGCCTCATGTGCTATAACTGCTTAAATCCAGTTTCTCAATGCAAGACGAATACCTCCTGTACACCGAACCTTGATTCTTGTCTTATTGCAGTATCTGGTAAGAGCCTCTGAGTTTCTTGTCTCCTGAAGGTGGAGAACCTGGGAAACCCGGTCCTTTCTAATTCTCATGCAATTTGTATTGAACAAGTAATCACTACCACTTATCAACTCCAGCTCTGTACCAGACACTAAGCATTTTCTATATACTTTAAAGCAATTTCAATGTTTCTCACACTACAAAGTCTTGGCAGACTTTTATTTATGTATAACAAATAAGAAAACTGAGGTTCACTGAGGCTAGGGTCAAGCAACCAACATAGGATTTGAACATGGAAATCCATCTGATTCCAAAACTCGGGCTTCTTCACAGTGACAGGGTACTTGCCTCCCAAAGTTTTGAGGCCTTCAGTGTGCCAGTGTTCCTAGCCTGAGCTAGGAACCAAGGATGCAAAGATGAAGAAAGGCTATGTATCAAAACTTTGACCAACCCGTTTGGTTGTCCCAAATGACTGTTTATATCTATGTCTGATTCCATGAGGCATTTAGTACATACAGAGTTCTGAAAGGACGCAAGCTGAGCTCAAATGATAAACAGGCAAGAGGGCTGATAAAAAAGGTTGTTTGTGCAAGAAGCAACAGCAATATCCAGGTTAGGTGGCCTCAGAGAACAGGTGCTCATAAGAATAGGATGTGGAATGTGACGTGCATAAGTCCATCTCATCTGCTTTTCCAGATTGGCTAAACTTTGCAATCTCCACTTCCTGTTAAAGTAGAATTTAGGAAATTGTAGAGAGAGGAAGGAAATCATCAAATATCCCCCCCCCGCTTTTTTTAGTGATTATCGCTCTATGTCAGATGAATGCATGTCATTTATGATAGTGGGAAGCAACAACATTTTCAGTGTCTAGTATATGAGATAAAACCCCTAAGAGATAAGAATAAAAACTCTCTTCAAGAGCATTTTCATTTTTATATCACCTACCACAAATTCTTCTCTGTGTCAAAATCAAAAAGAGTAAGCATGTCAGATCAACTCATAAAAAGGTGCAGAAAAATCTACAGAGATTAATCTACCTAGAAAGGAAGAAACCCTTCAGTTAAGTATGGACCAATCAAAGGTATCCTGTTTAAGAAAATAAAAAATAAACAGGAATATCTGGTAACTTTGACACCGATTCCTGGAATGCAGCTAAAATTCCAAGCCCTATGTTCCAAGTGCTTGATTCAGCAGGGGGAATACCTTCCACCTTCACTGGAGAACATGGTAATTTACTGCTAATGGAATAATGCTCTTAGAGAGATCATCGTCACTTCTTCCTTAAACACTGGATCCTTAATTACATAGATCACAGAGGACCCAGAATTTTCCTTGCTTATCTGTCTGTTGGTCAAATGTATTTCCCAATGAGAGAATAAAGGTCAAATATGTGTTTACTCTAGCAGGATTTCTGATCTCTGTCCTGCCACCAGTCAGGTCTTTTCCACCTGTATTGTGTTTACAACATGTATATATTGGGTAGTAGTGAGAACAAGAGGGGAAGTAGAGCGAAACTAAGATCTTTCTTCCAGCTCTCAAATCCCATGGTTTCTTACTTAGTTGTTAAGCTTTTTTTAAAAGGTCAAATATGTGTTTACTCTAGCAGGATTTCTGATCTCTGTCCTGCCACCAGTCAGGTCTTTTCCACCTGTATTGTGTTTACAACATGTATATATTGGGTAGTAGTGAGAACAAGAGGGGAAGTAGAGCGAAACTAAGATCTTTCTTCCAGCTCTCAAATCCCATGGTTTCTTACTTAGTTGTTAAGCTTTTTTTAAAAA